AAATGAAAAGGATCTGTCGAAAAAGCTATAGTAAAGGGCTCGCTCACTTTTGTATCGAGGCAATAAGAGGCAGGGCTCGGGAGTACGGGCGAGAGAGCACAACATGAGAGAGTTCCACACACCATCATGCTGCATACGATAAAAGCTGAAGCGGTTGCAGCGGTCTAGGAAGGCTCCAGCGCCTTGCCACGCACTTCAGAGCTGGGAGAATGGAGCATCTATGGCCTTTGTGAACAGCTTCCCCTACACACCAAAAAGATCCAACATCCCGAACCCATCCTGGATTGTGCCCTTAAGGCTTCAGCAGGCGTAGTTGCGCTCCAAGGTAATTTGTACCGCATCATTTAATATACCTCCTCAACTGTGAAGAGTTGATGTCTTATGATAACATCACGTATAAATTATCTGTTTGCACCTTGCCCAGCGAGAGTGTTCTGGGTGCGGTTTGACTTAACAGTCGAGTGAAAATGGCGTTTAAAGGTTCGAGACGAAAACCTAAAAGACTTTGCGCAACAATCCGCGAATTACCTATCTACAGCAGAAAAAAACAGATTTCCAGGTCTTTCTGGCTTTAGAGTTCTCACACTGCTAGCAAACAAATGTACAGATCACCATGCGGATCAAGCTTAAGATAAGACAATAACCAGGTACACTTGCGGTCGAAAGTGTTCTCCGAAAAGGTTTTTCATGCGCTGTTTTTTCTCACCTGACCAATTCCCTTCAGATACTGATATGTTGTGTCTTCTAACCTTCTTGAATCCTCATTTGCTAAGGATTCAAGGCATTGAAGAGAAAAATCTGCGAGAAACCTTTGAAACATCTTCAGGGGAAAAAACTGCAATGCTCGAGAAGCCGTTTCGGCGAACACATTTGACCGCTACTGTAGGAACGAAGTGTTCACTTCATGTTTTAGACAGAAATCGTCACGTTATAGAAAACGAAATTCTCATTCAAAATTGAAAGCATTAGATGCTGCTTAGAGCTCTTTCTCCAATGCGGAAACAAATTAGAGGGAGAACCACAAGTACAAACGAAGGGTGGTAGCTTTGTTATTTCGAGAAGCTGATTTGATGAACGCAGTGCTCCAACTGCAAATGGATTGCATACGCGGGTGGAACATACAGTAATATCCATAACATCATTTCTCGATTACGTCTAGCCTAACACAATTGCTGAGTTTACCGCGATCCTTGCATCAATCACATATGGCCTTTCTTGCACTTTATTAAATCTCTAGGAGCAATTTCCCCTTATCGGAGCTCCATTAAGTAGTATATACTTCTGGCTTACAGGGGAGACATTATGATAATAGTTGTCTTTGTTTGATCAGTTGCTTGCTGGAAAATCATTTATCTGATAAATCTTTAAAAAAATCAAAAATACGAAGTTATTACGTAATAACAATTAGTTGGTTCAGGTTGGTCGGTGGTTTCGTTTAGAATCGAAAAACACGTGACTACCAAATTTATAGTGATGTGCTCTCAATTCACTATTTAACAGAGAAAATTCCCAAAACAATTCCCCTTTTGAACACAAACTGGCCTTATATAGCTATGATCTCTGCCGGCGTGTAGATGAAGTTTATTATTTCACACATGAATTTTTCGAAATTCTGCAGAAACTATCACTCCAGGCCATAACAGAGTTATGGGCGCTATCGCAAGACACGGGGCATTGGGATGGCAGCTTAAAACCGCGTAAGACATTCAGTGTTTATTAAACAGGCCAAACCTTAGGGAGGAGAGGAGAGACTCCGAGGTGCCTGGACAGTTTTCGTTTTCCCCGGAGTTCCTGTTCCCTCCTACCCTTAGTCTTAGAAGATGGCCCCATATCTTGCGATAGCGCTCAGCAACGTATATGAGGTAATGACCAACGTGGTGTGATGGCATGTAGCGCTGCTTATTACGCTCACGGTTCGGGCATCACGTCCTGGGCCATGCGCCGTCCCTATTTTCGAGCCTTTCATTACCCCGTGATCGGCTCAATGGTGCAGAACTTTTCTGGAAGGATGGAATTTTGACTTGTTCACCGGCCAACCTCGCAATTTATGGCAATTTATCACATTGAAAATGTCCTACGAATATGGATGGAAGTAGAATGCGTGGCTCATTCCAAAAGATTGAATGACTCCAACGCTCTCTGTGTACTTTAACCTTTATGAGCGTTACTGGCCTACTATTTGCGGAATTTCTCGGGCACAGCGCTTTTTATCTAGCTCGTGTTTGAGGCTGCTTATAACCTTAAGTTCTCAAGGATCATTGTGGTCATTACGGTACTATGGGAACCTACGTTTACTACCTTCAGCTGATATGTATAGCTAACAAAGCTAGTTTACATTCCTGTCCACCACAAGTCTTTAGTAGGAAGTATTAACTATTAGAAACCTGTCAGATCGTCCAAAGAGCAGCGCACATTTGGCATGTCTTCAAAAAATCAATAAAACGAACCCACTTCATCCCTTATATTAAGCGAATCGGCATTACCTAGCACTTTCTTCTTAATTCTGGAAGCATTTAGCCGATGTCAGCTTTTCCCAGCTATCCTTCCTGACCCTTTGCAAACAATAAATTATACCCTGCTACCGTTACATCCCCTTCATCGACTGTAGCTGGGAAGACTAGCCACGGAATGCTTGTCTCACTCTCCTGCCCATGACTTGAGCTAACAGATATCTGTGGATGACGCAACATCGCTAAATGCGATTTATCTACGGGCGTTACTGGTATGGCAGTTGATGTCCGAGAGACAGCAAACCCGCCTCTCATCCCCGCGCGACCAGTCCCACCCACCCACGTAACGCTGGTCCATCCCGGAACAGTATATATACTGCCGAATAGATGTGACGTACAGTTATTCTTCCTTATCCACCTCCATAGCAATGGTGAGCTTCTCTTGAAATATTTCATTATCTTTCCTATATTAAAGCCAACTCACGTTTATGCTGGCGTTATTGTCAGTTATTCGGGAAGGCCTATTTCTCACTATTTTTGAAAATGTTTTGAAAAATATCATATTCAGAGGTCTGTTGTGTTGCTAGCTGCTATTGTTGTTGGAACTTCAGCCATATTGTTCCCGATGTCAGGTGGCGGATGTGGTTGTGGCTGCGGTGGTGGAGGCGGCGGCCAGGTGAATAGCTCCTTTTTGATTGGCTAGAAATATTTCTGAGATTTACTGTATTGCAGGACACTTCATGTTTGCCGAAGCTTGGCTGCTCAAAGATCTGTTTCAACATCCCATCGCTCCAAGTTTAGTTCTTCCAACTTTGTCCTACTGCTCCCTGCTTGATTAGCGCCTGAAATCAAATAGGTCATCATGTGAAATCCCTTTTTATGTTAACTGCATGACTCTAGCCAGAAACTGAGATCTGTTCAATCATTCTCAACATTTCAAGAGTAAACAGGCATTAGCAAGAAGGGAAAATACTCAAAATTGAAGCAACGTATAAAGGGTAGGTCAAAAAGGATTCCTCAGCGCCTTGTTCTATGTGATTCAATGCCCCTGATATCTTAGATTGCACATCTAGACAAAAAAATGCTTTTTCCCCTCCTACAAAGTGAGTCGAACAAGCAGTATTGCAGGAGGAAGAAGCACAAGAAAGAAACGAATCACTCACTTCGTTGACAAACACTTAGCAGTATTAATAATGAAGTGTAAGATTGACTTTGACGTCAGCTCCCTAGGGTCCTATGGTCTTCAGTTCTTGCAGACTTGAGTCGTAGGCATCCATGACAACGGCACTTCATTTTAAACTCTTATCCTCTAATTATGTTGCAGATCCCTTCACCATGCAGTGGAGGAGGAGGCGGCGGCTGCGGTTGTGGTGGTCGCAAGAAGAGAGCTGTTGAAGGAGATGACAAATGCACCGATCCCGAGCTACGAAAGCTGATCCTTGCTGTAAGTAACCAGCTTTATACCAGAAGAAATTTAGGATAACGTAAAGATGATGAAGGTGCAGAAGGAGCCCAACTGTACCTAGAAAGGATACCTAAGAAACATGAGGGGGACGAGTGCTTTGGTGGCCTATTCCATGAGTTGGAACGCATAGAGGGTTTTAGAAGCATAAACGCTTAGCTACAAAACCTGTATGAGTGGGCTAGGCTCGGTCCTATGCGCCTATTTACTCAGGGAACGGAGCTATAGAGACCGATTCATGTAGTCGTAAATTCTATGAATTATACACGGTGTAGCTAAGTGCAAGTGGTGCCTTCATGAGAATAGTACACCTCTAAAAAAGCTTATGTGTTTTTGAAAATATTCGACATAGAACGCTAGCTCGCGTGCTAGGCTAACCAATCTATCGCGGTCTTTGTGCCGAGACTACCCGATATTCGGGCATTTGCATTTTCCCACAGCTTCGAAGAATATGGGACTTCTGGCACCGAGGGGATCAGAATCACTCTCAGAAATATTACAGTGTCCGATACGTCCAGGAGCAGCCACTTTGTATTCAAATATCGTACTCATGACTACATAGACTTCCTTCCTCAAGCCATATCAAGGAAGGCAGCTTTTTGTGAACCTGAAGAAATCTTATATGTCGTTCCGTGGATTTGTGGCCTTGTCTGAGTAATTGTATTAGGAGATTGACGACACATTTCACTTCTAAGTGCTCGAAGGCAGGAGTCGCGCTGAGCATGTGAGCCCCATGCTCCACTCTCCGGCCCATCCCTGCCACAGCTGTGGGATTTTTGATTTGTACACCGTTCTAGCAGTCATGGAATAGGCTCCAAAACTTGGAAGGGCGTAAGGTGCAGAATAGTTCGCCCGTCGGCTTGACAAGGTCTTTGACTTCAGAGTTGTTAGAAGCGGCCACCTATATATTGAAATTCTGAGAGAATGGGCTACTCCTTAAGCAACCTCTGCGCTTCGCCGAATAAACTATTTTTTGTTTACAAAGAACTTGTGGATTTTGTCTCAAGGTAATCGTTATAGGGAATTCGCTCTGAAGTTGCCGAATCCCGCAACAACATCGTAGCTGCATTGAAAAAGAAGCACGCAGCCACTCGGTAAGTGATTCCTTTCATATGGCTTACTTTGGCATCCACTAATAGTATTGGTGGATTTGAAGTCCGCTTTTTTTCCTGCTTAATCTGAAGATTCACTGGAAGCACTTCAATCAACTAAATCCTCTCCAAACCCGAAAAAATCTACTTGGTACACGTGAGATCGTAAAACTACTTCCAGATACTTGGTCACATGTGCCCAAGGAGAAACAGTCTTCCAATCGACAGCCGACGAGTTCTGCACCGCTGGAACTCCTGAGCTGACGTGCCATGTTGCACGAGCAATTGACGCCGAATAGCCTAGTATAACCTAATGGCGAATAACCTTGTCCACTCAATTCTGTTGCTCAGTACGAATTTAGACACGTGTGAATTCTCTCAGAGTTCTAGTAACTTATAAGCCTAGAACTCACAGCTCAGATATCTCACTCTACTCAACCTTTGTTCGACTTTGTATGATCTAAGGCACTATTTGCTTTCACTTAATTACTCTAATACATAATATTGATATAAAATTTTCACAACATGCAGATATGTGATCAAGCCGAAGCATCGCCTACAAATCCTTTGCCAAACAAGCACATCTGACCATTCTGGTCGGGTCACGTCGGTTACGCTTATATTGATGTAGGCTTGGTGAGTTGGGCATGCACGAAAAAAATGAATTTACCGGGTGTGACGCACATAGTCGTCACAATGTCCCACATGACCTGCATACACCGTCATGACAAAATATGCTGCTCTTGAATCAGAAAGACAGTCAACAGCAGTCTCGATGTGCAGATTGAAGATTTTGACGTATATGCTTGAGCTTGAGTGACGGGTCATCGCTATCATTGATCGTACTAAAGACAAAGCGAGTGACGCTAACGCCCTGGATGAATCTCGGTGAGTTAAAGCTTCCGCCTGAGTTCTTCCAGTAGTGTTGCTCGACGTTCGCTGATTTCGAAATACTACGATGGTTGATAACGAGCTATCGAATCGACCCCTTCAGACAATCTCCAAGGCTCTGAAGAAGAGCTTAAACTTCGAAACGGCGCCGATTAGGGCTAGATAAGAAGATTCCACTGAGAAACTCGTTTGGATACAGCTGTAGGCATCAGCACGGATTTTCGAGAAAACAGCGAAACAATGGGGCTTCCCTTACTATCTACAAAACTGCTCCGAAGAGTTCGTTATAAAGCCGCTTTTCGTGCCCCAAAATGAAAATAATGGTGTGAAATCCCAGGGACACTCAAAGACTAGACGTCTATTCTAGACAAAAACCATTTGGAAATTTCACTATCAACTCTTGAGCAGGACGGAAGGCAACAGGGACACGGACAAAGGCAAAAAAGCAAAATTCAACAAAGAAATTTTGGACCGCTAACTTTTTAGGAATCGGAATTTATAGGAATCTGCCATCTAATTTGTCTGCTGGATTTCCTGCATTATAAACCATGAAATATAACAATAGGGGAAGCTAAGAACTTTGTCTCTTTGAAGAAGGCGGAGCAGAAAGTCTGGAACCGTTTCGGCACGCCTTAGTTGCGGGCCACCGCACGCCTTTGTTTCTCGGCTGTGATCGATTTCTGCAGAACGATCTCTCAGCCATCATAATTTTGGCTCACCCTGTAGAGCTCCTCAACCTCCGCTTTATCTCAGAATAGCTTTTTTCATATAGGTTATTGGTGAGTCCGTTATGCGTCTTTACATCTATGCGTACATCCAGCAAACAAATGAGTTTCAATCAGGGTCAACCGTTGTGTCCGCAATTTTTCAAGAATTTCGCGACCCCCAACCACCACCATTATTCCTGGGAGCCTCCTCCTAATGAGTCTCGCCTCCTCCCTACCCATACTGCCACTCTTGTCGTGACCAGCGCCACGACCTCGAGTAAAGATGCTCTAAGGCAAGCTGGTAAGAGGCAGGGCAAAATACCGGTTCAAACTCGCGCCATCGGCACAGGACCTTGGTTGCCTGCGCCTTCAAACTGCGCGCGAACCGTAGCCACGTCATTTCATCCGCCATTGCATCATCGTCGTGGACGGTCGCCCTATTCGCCTCTCCGGTTATCGGCTTATTCATCGCTGTTATTTTTCTGTCATCTTCAACTCGCGATGAATCCAGCACGCCAAATATAGTTAGTATAACTTTCAGAATATATGTTTAGCTTAAATATAGTATAAGTAATTTAGTCGCCTCGCCGGGACCCTATAAGTATGTAGTTGACCCTCTCTTCTACTCTTGAATACCTAATCGGTCTTCATCCGG